GGATAATATTTAAGTCTTATTATTACTCTATCCCTAACTATATCTAGTTTATAGTCCTTCTACCTCCTTTTATAAAAACTCTTATAATACTTTAGTATTATATAAGCCACCTGCTAATTAGTATAATAATAACCTTAAAGCAAGTTAGGGTTATCCTTACTGCAGTAGTAATTAAGAAACTAGTTAGGGAAGAAGGTTATTAATTAGTAGTAACAGGTAATTATTATATAAAGCTAGTTTATTATAATACCTATGCTGCTCTCCTCCTCCTAGACACTATACACCTTGCCTGTCGCATCTGTAATAAGGTTAGTCACATCTTGCTTATAAGGTAAAGGTTAGGGTAAAGAGGGAAAAAAAAAATTTTAAATCTTAGGTTAAAATAGATATAAAAAATATAATAAAATCTATTAAAAAATCTATATTCTAAAACTTCTCTCTGATTTTTAATAGCATTTTTCTAGAATTAATTATAAAATATTTAAAACTCTTATACTAAAACACCTTTAGCTTAGTGTTATATAACTTAATAAAAAATACATTTTAGGTATAGTGTAAACTAGAAATCTACCAGGCCTAAATAAGAAAGCCCCACTTAATAAAAAATACCTTTTTAATTAGTCTAGCCTAGTCTTTTAGCTAATAGGAATTAAGCTATGCTACTAACCCCTCTTATTCCTTCTTACTTTTAGCTAAGTTATTATATAATGCCTACTTTTATACTTTACTTTTACCCTTTACCCTTACTAATGCCACTTAAGCCTAAGTGGCTTATATTCCTACTTAACGCTAAATAGTATGCCCTCTTAACCCTTATTTAGTTTAGCATTATTTAAAAGCATATTAAAGCTAAAAAGATAAGGCTGCCTAAAAAAGTACTATAGTAAAAGTAAGTATAAGTAAAATAATTAAAAGCATTAAAGAAGATACTTTTATTAATAAAAGTTAGCGCTTACCTTAATATTAACTACTAGCTTAAGTTAACTAAAGATTATATTTAGCTATATAATGCTATACCTCTTTAGTATCCTATTATTTACTAATAGTATTATAAACCTATATATACACCCTAGCATTAATATTCCCTTTACCTTTTTAAGTAACCACTTCCTTTTAGTTATCCTGCCTGTTTAAAATAACTCTAGCTTTACTAATCCCTTTAATAACCTATTTAGCTAAGCTATTAAAGAGTTATAAGTAATAAAAGAGGAGGGCCTTCTTATACTAGCTAAGGATATAGCAGAGGTAATACTAAATATTTTAAATAAATAATTAAAAGGGCTTTATAAGGAAATCTTAAACTACTATATATCCCTAGTTTTATTAAAGCTTACACTAGCCTCTAGCGCTTTAAATATATAAGGTTAGAAAATACAGAAGCTAACTAAAGCTGTCTAAAAGAATACCCTCCTCTACTAGGCTACTAAGTCCTTTATAGCTAATACTAATATATATAGCTTTTAAAGGACTATACTATAAGCTATTTATGCATTTACTTAATATTACCTTAATGCCTATACTAATCCTTATATTAACCTAACTAAAAATAATATGCTTTTTAATATTAGGTTATTTAACCTTTTATATTATATTATATTATTACACTTTTTAAAAATAAAAAACCTACTTTTTATATTTTAGCTTATTATCTACTATATTAAAGCTTATATTAGCATAATAGTAAGGGCCTTTTATACTAATGCCTTACAGCTGCTTTTAAAGGAGGAAATATAACTACTAGACTGCAGTCTAGTAGTTATTTTTATCTTTTACCTAGGTTTAATTATAACTATAATTAGCTACTAGACACTTAGCTGCTATAATTTAATAATAAATACTATTATTCTTACTAACTTATTTAAGATGCTAGCTTATACTGCAGGCGCTACTGCAGCCTTAAAGCAACTAGTATTATTTATTAACCCCTCCTTAGTAATGCCTACTATTATTACTGCCTATATAATATAGCAGTATAAAAGCTAGACCTGCAGCCTTATTATTATTAAATGCTTTTATTAAGTTATTATTAAGGTATAATAGTATTTACTAATAACTAACTTTAATTAGCTAATAGTTATATTAAGCGCTAAAGCATTTAAAAATTAAGCTATTGCCTTTTAGTAAGATATAGTAGACAGCTACTTTAAAGGCAATTTAAAAGTAGATAACCTTATAGTAAATGCTTTATTACTAAAACTTAGCTTTTATAAAGATTATAACCACTCTGCTCTTTTATTATTACCTAGCCTTTAAGAAGATTATAACCACTTTACTCCTCTGCTATTACTAAGCATTTATAAAAATAACTACTATACTGCTTTACAGCTATCTCCTTATAGCTTAACTAAAAACTATACTACTATATTATACTATATGCTTATAGCTAAATAAGCTAGTATACCTAGTTACTTATTATAAAAGTATAAGTCTAATTATACTAAAATGCTATTATAGGCAGATAGGAGTTATATTAGCCTTAACTATAGCTTTATAGGCAATATATAGCAGGCCCTTAAAAGACACTAAGGAGATATAAAGCTGCTTAATATACTAGATTTTAGTAAGGACCTTCTTAAAGTAAAGAGGGCAACCCTTCTTTTTATAACTAGTAATAAAGCGTATAATTATAATGCTTTAGCTAAGACCTACTAGACTGCCTTTAAGAGAACTGCAGACCTTAATATACTACTATTATAACTTTGCCTCTATACCTACTACTTTATTTATCTTAACCTTATAGCTAATGCAGTAGATAAGTCCTTTAATATTAACAGCCTTTATGCCTTTCCCTTATCCCTAGCTATAGTAAGCTAGGGCATTTTATAAAGAGCTATATATTATATACAGTCTAGCATAATAAATAATATACACTTAGCTTTTAATATCCTTAATAATAATAGTAGTAAAATACTATAGCTGCTATATATAATACTAAACTACTACTTTAGCTATATACTTAGTCTAAATAATATAAATATTTATATCTTCTTCCCTGCTATATTTAAAAGCAGCTTTAGTAATTTATATAAAGCAGTAGCCCTTTCCCTTAATGCCTATAAGAGATGGCTAGATACTATTATACTACTAGTATTTTAAGAGTGTATTAAATCCCCTAATATACTACAGCATCTGCTAAAGTTATATATAGCTGCTAGCAGTACTATAAGGGCAGAATATAAAACACTTTTAAAATATAACTTAAACTAGGATAAAGGAGAGTATATAACACACACTAGTTAAAGATAAGTGCTATAATATGCTTTATAACTAGGCAACCTAAATACTATTTAAAGGGCTATTAAGCTATAGGCTTATAAACACCTTAACTTCTGCAGCCTGCAGCTTTATATCTTATTTAAGAACACTAAGCTTTACTATATAGTAACTTCTTTATAAAAAGCACTTAGTAAGTAGTAGATAGTATAAGACTATAGCATTAACCCTGCCTATTTAAACTAAGACACTACCTTTATTAATATTAAGCAGTAGGTAATGCTAGTTAAGGAGGGGCTGCTTAATAACTATATCCTTTTATAAAGGAAGTGCTGCCTTAAGTTACTCTAGTAGTTTTAGCGCGCCTAGAGTGCAGCTAATAACACCTAGGTAATATATAAAAGGTAACCTAACTTAACTAAGTTTAAGTATCCTTTTATTACCTTTAACTATACTATAAGTATAACTATTACTATATTTTAGTATAGCAGAGAGTTTATAAAGGGCCTGGTTTATAGCTAATTTTATAATTTTATTAAGGGCCCTTTTAATTTAGCTAAGATATTTCCCTTTTAGTTTTAAAATACTAAGGCGCTTGCCTTAGATTTAGCCTACTTATAAGACCTCTAGTTAACTTATAAAGTTTATTAATATATTAGCACCCTTATATATAGTTACTGGCTTAGTAAGGCCTATATAAATATAAGCATACTAAATCTTAATATACTAGGCTAATGCCCTTTTACTTATAAAGTTAGGGCTAAAGACTATATTTCCTTTTATCTCCTATACTATATTATATTACTAGACTAGCAGCTAAGCTAGGCTAGGATAGTAACCTTATACTTTACTATACTATCTCTTAATATAGCCAGCCTTATCTAGGCCTTAGTTAATAAACACTGCTTTTTATTTAAGTATATCTATTTAGCTGCATTTTTTAAGTTCTTTTTACTAAAGATAGTTATTATGCTAGTAGCATTTTAAGGCTTATACTTCTCTTTTAGCTTTATGCTTATAGCTAAGGAGTTAGTCTTATAGCATAATTAATAAGTAACTAGAGGGACTGCAGCTATAGATATAGTCTATAAGGAGGGAATAGGAATATAGTGCGCTTTATAAGACTATAGCTTTAGCTAGTAGTAGCTAAAGAAACTTAACTAGCTATCCTTCTGCTTTTAATATAATATTAAGAAGTAAATTATAGCTAGAAACCGGCTCTTAAAGCAGGACTATACTTATTAATAAAAAGCTATTAAGGATATTTATAGTATATACTTCTATATATAGTAAGCAACCTTATAAGTAACTAAGTATAATATCTATAGTAATAAAGCAGCCTATTATATTTAGCTAAAGTATCTTTATAGTATAGTTATAAATGCCTTTAACTAGGATATATAGTATAATATTTATAAGTTAGTTAATTAAGTGACTGGATTTAATATTACTAATAAGGCTAGGCTAAGCTACCTAATTAATAAGCCACTGCCCTTTTACTTTAAATCCCTTTTTAAGCTTTTTATTAACTGCTATAAGGATAGAATATATACTTATCTGCACTTTATTACTAGTAATAAAATTTATAATACTGCTATAAAGTCTTTACTGCAGGATCTTTTTATACTACTTAGCTAAACTATATCCCTCCTTAATTAAAAAAGGTAGGAAACTTATCTTTACTGCATTACTATAATATAAAGCATTATAATAATTAAAAATATATTAAGTAAAGCAGAGTTATGCTAGTAAATACTAAACCTCTTTATTATTATTATAGCTATTTATTAGGTACTGCTATAGCTATTAAAAAGAGAGCTTATATTATTTACTAAGGAATATACTGCATAATATAAAAACAGGTAACTTACCTTTACCTTAATAATCTATATACTTAACACCTTGCCCTTAGCTCCTTATATTAAATTAATAGGCACTATAGCTATGCTGCCTTATAATAAAGACCTTATGCTATCCTACTTATTATCACTTGCTTTAAGACTTTACTATAATATAAATATACTTTAGTAACTATTATAGTATATATCTTGTATTATTAAGAGAGCCTTTTTACTAAAAACTAAACCTATACTAAGACAGGCAGTTATAACTTTATTTAATAGCCTGGTCTACCTTATTATTAAGAAGGGTTTCCTACTTAAACTGCGCATAATCAGCCTAATATATAACAGATCTGCCGCTAACCTTAACGCTGCCTTTTAAAGCTTCCTTAGTGTAGACTTAGTATAAGGCGCTTACACCAGGCCTAATTATCTATATATTAAGCCTAGTCTACCCACTAACCTCTTAAATAATTACCTAAAATAAGCTAGACTTAGATAGTATAGTGCACTAGTAACTAATTTCCCCCTTTATTAAACTTATATAAAAGCTCTATCCTATTTAACCCTAAGTATAAGCTTATATCCTACTTAAGACTAAGTAAAAGCTTAATATACCTAAAAATGTAAAGTAAAAGGTTTTTTATAAGTTTATAAGGGCTACCCCTTATCTCTTATTTAAGCTTATTGCAAATTATATAATATATTTAAATCCTTACTAGAATCTACTAAGCTAGACTTAATATAGTCTTATAATCTTATTCTAGATGCTTTATACTTATATTTATATATATAGGCATAAAATCTAGAACACACTTTATATACTAAGTAAACCACTTAATATTATATATAAAACCTTAAGCTACTTTATAATAAATATTACTATTAAGTAGTTTAAGGTATTTTAAGTATATATAAGCTATTTAGGGTATATATTACTTACTTATAATACTTACTATTTTTAAATATATTATAGTAAACTTAATTATAAGCCTTAGACTGTTTATTCTTTCTTATTCTTATTATAATAATTTATTATATATTACTAGGTAGCCCTAAAATTACCTACAGCTATAAAATTCCCTTTAAAAATATATAGACTAACCCTACTCCTAATAGTTATAACTATACTATAATATATCCTCTGCCATTACTGCCTTAACTAAAGCTAAATTATATAGTCTTAATCTACCTACTATAGCATTCTTAAAATTCCCTTTAAAGACACTATATAGACTAACCTTACTGCTAATAGTTATAACTATACTATAATACATCCTTTACTATTACTGCCTTAACTAAAGCTAAATTATATAATCCTAATCCACTTATTATAGTATTCCTAGAATTTCTTTTAAAAACACTATGCAGACTAACCCTACTGCTAATAGTTATAACTATATTATAATATATCCTCTGCTATTACTGCCTTAACTAAAGCTAAATCTTACAGTCCTAATTTAATTACTATAGCACCTTTAAGATTGCCTTACTAGCATGCCCCTTTACTATATTAACAGCCTTATCCTTATTATTAATAGCTTTAGCTTTAAGACAGACCTGTGTATTAAGATGCAGGGCGGCTTTATAATTAGCCTAGTCTTTAATAGCTAGAATATTATGCCTAGCAATCTGCTTAATAGAGACCAGTCTGCCTCCTGCAGTGCCTTTAAGATTACCTTGCTAGCGCGCCTCTTTACTATATTAATAGCCTTATCCTTATTATTAACAGCTTTAGCTTTAAGATAGACCTGCGCATTAAGACGCAGGGCAGCTTTATAATTAGCCTAGTCTTTAATAGCTAGAATATTATGCCTAGCAATTTACTTAATAAAGACTAGTCTACCTTCTGCAGCGCCTTTAAGATTACCTTACTAGCATGCCCTTTTATTATATTAATAGCCTTATCCTTATTATTAATAGCTTTAGCTTTAAGATAGACCTGCGCATTAAGATGCAGGGCGGCTTTATAGTTAGCCTAGTCTTTAACAGCTAGAATATTATGCCTAGTAATCTGCTTAATAAAGACTAGGTAATAAGGCTGCTATAGCCCCCCTTAGCGCAAGCTATAGCTAGAGACTTTATGCTTAAGATAATGCGCTATAAGGGCCTTAGTAAGGATATTAGTGTTAAGATATTCTTAAAGCCTAAGTTTTACTAAAGCTTAAGTTTTACTAAAGCCTAAGTTTTACTAAAGCCTAATAAAGAGTGGTTAGCTTAGTAATATATATATTTTCTATAGGCTAGATAAGCTATTAAGGCTATAATAAGCGGCATTAAGTATATTATATATAAAGGACACTATATAGACTAACCTTACTACTAATAGTTATAACTATACTATAACATATCCTCTGCTATTACTGCCTTAACTAAAGCTAAATTATATAGTCTTAATCTACCTACTATAGCATTCTTAAAATTCCCTTTAAGGATATTATGCAGACTAACCTTACTGCTAATAGTTATAACTATACTATAACGCATCCTCTGCTATTACTGCCTTAACTAAAGCTAAATTATATAGTCCTAATCTACCTACTACAGCATTTTTAAAATTCCCTTTAAAAACACTATATAGACTAACCTTACTGCTAATAGTTATAACTATACTATAACACATCCTTTACTATTACTGCCTTAACTAAAGCTAAATCCTGCAGTCTTAGTCTAACTATTATAGCATTACTGCTTTATTATAATAATTTAATTACTATTAATTAACTAGCTATTATACCCTTAATATTAAACTTAAGGTTAGCTCTCTTAATAGGTATATAATATGCCAGTTACTGCTTAAGCGCTATCTTACTGCAGTGCCTTTAAACCTACTGCCTTATATAAGATTGCTAATATTAGCAGCCTTAAAGTCGCCTTTAATAATACTTAGCCTACTATAAAATAATACTTAAAATAGTCCTATATAATATTAACTTAAGTATAGAAGACTATATAAAATAATTACTTAGCCTACTTAACTTTATATCCCTTTATATAATTACTTATAAAACCTTCTCTTAATAACTAAGTCTAAGCTTCCTTTATAACTCCCTTTATATTTAGCTATATAGGTTATTCTAATTACTACCTAACCCTCTCCTACTACTAGTCTTTCCTACTAGGCTATTAGGCTTATAGTCTAAGTGTATTATAGCATCTTATTTAAACCTAAGTGTAAAAAGAGCTACTATAAGAGGCTACTAAAATATATACTATAACATACCCCTCACTTACCTACTAATATATCTCCTTAATTCCTATAATATAATACCCCTCCCTTACACTTACTTACTAACCTATTTAACTAGCTATTTACTTAGCCACTAAGTTATATACTATACTACCCCTCCCTTATATTTACCTACTAACCTATTAAACTTATATAACCCCTCCCCTATATTTACCTACTAATATATTAAATATTATATTTACCTAGCTTATAATTATACACTTCTATCTAAGTATTAATTTATATAGCCTTTATTATGCTATTTTATTAAGGACTAAGTGAAATTTACCTTTAAAGCCTTAGGCACTATCGCTAACTGCATAAATACCTTTTTTAATCTAGCATTATATTAAGACTTCTCCTACCTAGCTTAAACCTTCCTTCCTTTTTATCTTACTAACCCTCCCTTCTTCCTTCTCTCTTAACCCTCTCTTCCCTCTCTTCCCCTTAATTATAGTCCTTTATATCCTTTACTTACCTACTTAGCTGCAAGCAGAATCTAATAGTTATATAACACTATGCCTCCTAAAAATCAGGGGCCCTAGTATAAGGTTAAATCTAAGTTAATAAAAGTAAAAGCTAATCCTAAAGTTAAGGTGTAAGGCAATAGTAATTTTACCTTAGTCCTTTAAGCTAATAACCTAGCTAAATAGTAAACCTTTAAAAACGCACTTAACTTCTCTATTAGGCTCTGTAAAGCTTTATCTAACACCCTTAAAGACCAGCTTAAAAGGGCATAATATTAGCATAGTCTAAAACTTTTTATAAAAGTGCAGGTTACTTAAGTCTAGTTAACTGCACCTACTTATTAGTTAACTATAACTAATTACACTAAATTATTAAGTAACTCCCTGGCTAACTTTAGAGATTCCCTTAGTAATTTTATATAAAGGCATATTCTATTTATTATTAAGTAGATCTCTCTTACTTAACAGTAAGTAGAATGCGCCTTTCCCTAGCTTAATATATAAAGCCCTTATTAATAAGTTATCTAGTTTTTAATATGCTTCCTTATAAGGTAAGGCTCCTTTAAGAATAATTTAAATCTTAAGTTATATAATTATTATATAAAGAATACCTAGCTAATAATATACCCCTGCTAATATAGAGTTTATATTCTAGTATAAAAAAGGCAGTTAATAAGCTCTTAGGTAACTGTATTAGTAACTTAAAGTTACTATATATCTGCATCTTAGTATATATTACTAAAAACTCTAAATATAAGCCTCTAGTTAATTAGGTTATTAAGAATCTTAATAAGCTATTATTCCTACTAATCACTGCCTGAATTATTAGCCTTAATATTAAAAATAATATAATTAATCCTATTAGAACTATTCTCCTCTATGCTATGTAAATTCTCTTATTCTCCTTAACCTTCTAGAACCTAAATTAGATATACTTAACTAGAGACTATAAAAAGTAATTCTTAATGCCCTCTAGCTATAGTAGTAACTGCAGAAGTATAGCTAGGAAGTATAGCCTAAAGGACCTTTACTAAGCAGTATTACTATTACTCTTATCTATTTATTAATAACGTAATATAACCCTTAAAAAGCTTATAAAGTATAAGGCTTTATAGGCTAAAGGTATATTCCTAGGTTATTTTAATATCCTTATTAAAGATATTTCTGCAGTAGATAAACCTGCAGGCCTAGTAAAGGAGGTGACAATCTGGATAATATGCAACCCCCTTAAGCTAGTAATATAATTAAATACACTTGCCTTAGGGTCCTTGCTTACTACCCTAACTAAGTCCTAGCCTTACTATATAAGTATATTAAGCATGCCTTAAAAACCTAAGACCAGCATTAATAAATAGCTAGAGTTTTAAAACTTATTTATTAAATGCATAACTATTTAATAAAGCAGTTATAAAAATAGCAGTAACTTAGTTAACTTAAAGCTATTATATTACTTACTAAAGCTAATATCTGCTAAGGCCTAGGATACTATAGTTAAGCAGATTTAATATAACTTTTAGTAGGATAATTATAACTAGATGTTTATAACTATATAGCAAGGAGTCACTTCCTTTAATAAACTTATTAAAGAAAAGCGCCTGTCTAAGTATATAAGCGCTAGGTATATATTTAATGCAGTATAAAAGCACCTAGCCTAGCATCCTAAAAATAAAGCAGGACTTAATACAGCATTAATGCAGTCCTTTACCCTTAAAAGCGTCTTTAATAGAAACCCCCCTCTTAAAGACACTAACCTTAATGCTATTTATAATAAATTTAGTATCTCCTAGTACCCTTCCCTTAAAATATACCTAGGCTTAAAAAAACAGCCCCTTAAGCCCTATTAGATTGCTAGTAAGCACTTACTTTACTTAATACTAAGCAGGATGTATATCCACTTAGCCTTAATTAATATAGCCTCTTTATATAACTATTAACCTATTATAGACCTAGGGGTACTTTTTAATAAACTTAACTTAATTAGTTATATCTTGCTTACTAATAAGATAGGCCTAGGTAAGATAAAAGTGTTCTTAGCTATAGTTAAGTATAAGGCTAGACTGCTAGAAAACCAGGCTGCTAACTTGCCTAAGGATAAGAGGGAAATCTACTTCCTAACACTTATAGTTAACCCTATATTAACTATTTATTAAACTATTACTAAGGCATTAGCTAACTTTCCCTCTTTTAAGATCCTGCTTTACTACAGTTTTAAAGGAGAGAGCAGGAAATACAGTAATATTTAGGTAATTAAAAAGGGCGACCTTATAAAGACTGTGCATAAGCTGTTACCTAAAGATCTTAAGGTATATATAATATAAATAAGGAGAAGTATAAGTAGGCTAATATAGCCTAAACTGCTTAAATAATTATTATAACGTTATACTTAACTCTGCACTGCAGGGAGATTAAGTAAGATAAGAAGTCCTTTATTTTCCTACTGTAATAAGAGATTAATAAAGCTAAATGCTAGTAATAAGATAAAGCTAAAGTTAATAGTAATAGCAATATAATTATATCTAGCGCTCTTACTAATAATAATAAGAATGCTAAGGCATTAGTAAATAAGGATAAATAGCTTATGCTAGCTAAAGTAATAGCTATATAACCTTAGATTATTAATAAAGAGAAGATATGCTAGTATAAACTGCATAACCTAAAGCTAAAAAAGAAAAGGTTTTATATACTCCTTAAGAACTCTAAGACTCTGCCAGATAGTAATATTATTAAGTATAAACTTAGAAATTCTAGCCTTAGTAAAGTAAGATAGGGCTTTCTTATTATTAATAAAGCCTATATAGCTTAATGCTAGGATAGTGTTTATAATTAGGCATTTAGGCTGCTCTGCTAGGACTTACTAGTCTAGGTTACTAGCACTCCCCTTATAAGTGGCTTTAGTAATATCCTCTCTCCTCTCTCTCTTATTTAGGGAAAACTGCAGATTAATAACCCTTTTAATATTATTATAACTAGAGAGAAGCTAGAAGGATTATAGTATAATAACTATAACCTATATATTAACTTTAATAATAAAGCTGGCTTAGTTACTAAAGGCATATTCAGCGCCTTATATATAAAAGACTACCTATATAAATATCTATCTGCTATAAAGAAGGCCTATAAAAATAAGGGAACTAAGCTATAGCAACTCTGCCTTTTACTAATTATAACTGCTGCAGGCAGGTCCTAATAGGACAGCTATTTTAGCTAGAATGTCCTAGCTCTAGTGCTTAAGTCCTTCTCCCTGTATAAGATATTAAGGTCCTGCCTTATCTTACTAAACAGTACTATATTATTCCTAGTAACTAACTTACTGCTAATAACTATCTATATAAAGAAGTTATACTAAAGTAGCTATTACTGCTAAGCTATCTTAGTATATAGCATAAGTTATATAAGCTAAACTTTCAGTTTTACTAATAAACCTAGAACGCTAGGCAACAGCCAGCCTAAGCATTTAATTAATTTCGCTGCATATAGAGAAGGCGCCTTAGTGGCATTTTATTAAAGAAACTTAAAGATTTTTTATAACTAGGTCCCTGACTTAAGTAAAGACTTAAATAAGGTAGTAAATGCACTTTGCTCCTTATATAAGGCAGGATTAGTAAAAATATTAACCCAGTCCTATAACCTAGAAAATAAAGCTTATAACATTTTAACTATTAGCGTTAAACACCTTAGTAAGTTAATATCTTTTAATAATAATGCTAGACTTAACTACTTCTTTTACTGCACTATTAAGGATATGCATATTATAGCACTCTATAGCTAGAGCGGTTAGGTTAAATAGTTAGCTAGAACTTTACTAATTCTAGTATATATCTTCTAGCTTACTAACTAGTATATTTAGGTGCAGGGGCAGAGGCTCCTAGTATATGTAAATACCCCCTAGCTTTAGCAGTAAGTGCCCTTTCCACTTAGCCTTAAGTGCAGTAATATGCATTTAAGGATAAGTAGCATAACCCCTTAGCCTTATAAAGTATATACTAATAATATATATAAATTAGTATATAGCGCTCTCCTTATTATAGGATTTATTACCCTTACTGTCTAATTATGTAATAAGCTAAGAGCTAAGATTAAGGCTATCTTTAAGTTTTCTAACCTTATTTCTAACGCCTAGATATTTATAGCAAATATTAATATTATAGCAATAGGCGTTAACCTACACTAATATTACTTAAAAGGTATTCTCGCCACTTTCTACTATAATATAAAGACTATAACATAGGTTTATAGTTGCCTTAATTAGCTTAGTTAGCATAAAGCTATAGTATGGCATAATTTTAAGGTTAAGGAATTATTTTATAACTACTAAAAGAGAGTTATTATAACTAAGTAAAGTAAATAGCTATCCGCTAAAACAAGTCTCCCCAGTTAAATAACCGGCACCCTTAAAGAGGTGGTTATTTTTAAGCTTATTTAATTATATTACTATCAGTCTTTTAATTAATACAGCTGGGTTATCCTGTAAGACTAGGATAAGTTAAGCATTAAGTACTACTTTAATAAGGCCATAAAGATAGGTATCGCCTACTTAATTATAGCTAAGCTTGCTATAATTCCACAGTACTAGAACTACTAGGCTAAGCAGGATAACTATCTTGCTATATCACTCTTAAATATAGTTACTAAACTAAGTATAACTAAGATATAGAAGTGGATAACATTTTTAAAGGAGAAACAGCAGATAATGTTTAAGCGTAAATTAGATTACTATCTTAACAGGGTTTAGGCATCCAAGGTTTAACTAAAACAGGCTAAGATGCTTAATTACTAGAGGGAGCAGCGGATTATATATAAGTCTGCAGAGTTTATAAGGCCTAGCAACTCTAATAATAAAAGGGACATGCTAAAGTATAACTATAATAAGTTAGGGGAGGGAGATAATAAGGATTTCTAAAAGGATAGCAAGAATAATGCAAAGAATAGCAAGAATAGCATGCAGAATGGCAAGAATAGCGTAGAAAATAGCAAGAATAGCAAGAATAATAAAAATAATAAGAATAGCAAGAATAGCAAGGAGAATAGTAAGAAGAATAGTAAGAATAGTAAGGAGAATAGTATAGATATAGTAGCTAATATTAATAAGAATAGCCAGTAGTTAGTTTATAAAAAAAGGATTAGTTAAGGGTGGAATTTGCAGTTAAAATATTTATTTTATATAAGTATATAGTGTAAGTATATAGGAAATTACATTTACTTTAAAATCTAGTACTCTTATAATAAATACAACCTGTAATAACTTATAATAACATAATAGAAATCCTTTAAGTAAATGCAGCAAGACACTACTATTAAATACGCAGATGCTATAAAACCTAATCTATTTGCCCTTAAGTAAAAAAGCAGTTACGCTTAGGCTTAAATAGAATAAGGAGATTAAATTAATAACAGTTATAGGGATATAGTGGGTTTAAAGGGTTTATTTAAGCTAGTATAGTTAGGGGATCTAGAGAGGGACCTTAAGCATACTAATTATTAAATACTGCTAGGTCTAGTGGTTATAAATTAATGCACTATTAACTAGCTTTTTATACTATATATACCTTTTAGCACTAGGTCTATTAAATAGAGTGCTGGCGGATATTAACCTAATTAGCGCATTCTGTTAGCCCTTGTTAAGTTATTTATGTATAAGGATAGGCCATTAATTATAGCCATATAGCTTAAGTATTGCAGTAAAACAAGGCTATCTGTTACTATCTTAAATTCTTAGGGTCTATAGGGCTCTAGGGATGCCTTATTTAAAGGCAAAGTCGATCTCCTCTAAGTTAAACTTATCTCGCCTTAGTTTAATGCACTTATGCAAGACCTTAATATTCTTAATACCCAGCTTATTGCATATAATAGACTAAAGTAAGATAATAGCCCTGCTAACTGCTATTATGCCTCTGCCTTTAAAGCCCTAGTCTAGAATTAAGTAGTATAAGATAATAGGATTAGTGCTAAGGGTTCCTATTTATCTAATTATGCTTTAGTTAAGGTCCCTGCTATGCCTGCACCTAACTGTCTAGTAAATTATAATAGCAACTAGAAAGGGGTTTAACCCCTCTATTAGTTGCTTATATATAGCTAGCGTAACTACCTTAAAATTACTATATAGATTAAGCTATAGGCTGAATTATTACTATACTAAGCTAATAGCTGCTGCTTATATATTATGCCCTTAAGTAAGAGGGTTTAACACTATTACCACGCCTGCCACCCTATCTTATATTATGCTAATCTAGTAGGCGTTATTAAAGCTGACTATAAAGGCAATAAAGCAGTAGTTATAAATGCACTTAAGGAACTTGCTATTCCTAGCTGCAGGGGGGAGAATAGCATTAATAAGGTTAAGATTGCCTAGTATTTACAGTTTATATATACTGCAAAATAGTTTAAAGTTAGTCTAGGTAAGAGGGTTATTACTAGTATTAATACTAATTTTAATAAATTTATTTATTACTACTATATTTAGTAAACCTTAGCAGATAGTGTATAGTAAGGCTTATAGAGAGGCTTTTATTAGCTAGTTACAGCTCTTTAAATTAAGAAGGCATAGCCTAAGTCTTAAAGCATGTTAGCGCTAGCTATACCTATAGACTATTTAACTTATCTTAAATTAGCCTGTCTTAGTTAATCCAGGCATTTATATTACTAGGTTAGCGTTAGTCTTAGTAAGGAAGGGATTATGCATAATGTATATTATATTAGGCCAGTCCTCCTACACATTTATTAGGGGGGCTTTTTAATCTAACACTAGGTTATTAAAGCTCTCCCTAAATACAGTCTAATCCCTAATCCTTATCCCTGTTATATTAGGGATAGTACTGCTAAGCGCCTTATATATAATAGTGTTACTAACTGCATTAAGGTAAGCTATTAGGGCAGCCTTAAAAGGAGCATAATAATTAGGATTTATTTATATTAAAAAGTGTAGTTAGATAGTACTAAGATGCGGTTACTAAGTATAGCAGTCTATATTTATATATAAGGATAAAAGCTTAGGGTAATAAACATCTAGTGCTTTTTATTTATATTATTATAAATAGTAAGTATAAGGCCTATTATATAGTTAGGCATAATAACTTATAAAGAGTCCCTTATTAAGATATTTAATAAGTAATAGGGCATTTTAGAGACATTTAGATAAGCTTAGGGGTTAGTTATATAATAGCCTAATAGGGTTTTACATCGCTTATTAAACCCTAATGTCCGCCCTGCAGCTTAAATACTTATCTAGTTTATAGTATGCCTATATAACACTATAGTTAAGGCTTACACTTGCTTCCTGTAACTATAATAAATATTAGTTATATTTAATATTTACCTACCTACTATAAAATAAATATTTTCTAAAGATTAAGGCAGAAAACTAATCTCTAATATTCTATTTAAAGAGGCATCCTACTTAATCCTCACTCTAACTAGGCACACTTAGCATATAATAAAATGCCGCCTTAGTATAAGATTAGGGTTTAAATCAGTTAAGTTAAAGCATAAAGCTTTAATAAGGCAGTATATAAGTAGATAGAGTTTTAGGGTTTAGGAAGGTTAAAGTTTAGTATATAAAGGCACTTACTAACTAGCCTAGCAATAGCTAATTAAGTGCCTATTTATATTATTATTCCCTTTTTAGAAGTTAAAGAGGTAAATTAAATTAATCACTAAGCTACCCTCCTATAATACCTCCTCTCTGCATAAGGCGACTAGGCAGTAACCTAGTATAATGTAAATTAGATAGTTATCTAGTGCAAGGAGTTTAGTAATTTCGCCACTAATTAAATAAAGAGTTATATAATTAACCAGAGCCTTATATCACTATATAAGGTTTAACCACTGTTTATATAATTCCAGATAAGTTAGCCTCCTCCTATTATGCTACCTGCAGTAGCCATGTAATTATTATTAACAGCTAGCACTATTTACTATAAGACAGTAACAAGCTTTAATGCCAGGGACGCCTAGATAACTGCATACAACTGTTCCTTATGCTATAATCTCCTACTTAATATTAATTAAGGCAATGCCTTAGTCTTAAAGAAGATGCTATATTTTCTTAAACTGCAGTT